GTACCCCTTTCTCCACAACCTCTCCAGCAAAGGCTATCATTGGTGTTTTTGATTTTAGCCATTCTGACAGGTGTAAGATGGTATCTTAAAGTTGTCTTGATTTGCATTTCCCTGATCGCTAAGGAAGTTGAGCATGACCTTAGGTGTCTTTTGGCCATTTGAACTTCTTCTGTTGAGAGATCTCTGTTCAGCTCAGTGCCCCATTTTATAATTGGGTTCATTAGCCTTTTACAGGTCAGGACACATCTTTGAGAGCACTCCCTTCCTTCACTGAGGCAGTCCACTCACCTGACCACAGGATACCAATTGACACCTTATTTATACTGTACATTCCAGTTCCGAGTCTTTTTTTTTCTTTAATACTTTTTTTCAAGACAGGATTTCTTTTTCTCTTTGTGCTTCCCCCTCTTCCAGTCCCTCTCCCTTTTCTTCTTCTTCCCCACCTCAATGCTAGGCTTCACAGACAGACAGACAGACACACACACACACTATGCAGATATTGCATTTCTAAGCTACATTAGTACTCTGACCTTTCCCCCAGAAAAGGTGAGTCTAAAAATTGACTAGAAAAGAAATATTTCAACCCTAGTGGTGCTAAATGCAGCAGTGATATATTTAAGATTCCAACACCAAATATACTAATTTTTTAAATTTACAACTATATATAAAACTGTTGAATTTTTATTCAGCAAGTATATATAACTTTATATGTGTTTTTAAGTCATTAAATTTTGTTATTCCAAATTTACTCATATTTGTAGAAACATAAGAAGTCATGCAAATAGCATTTCAAATAATAATTGGTAATAAGATGAAAGTTTAAAAGCACATATGTACCTATAAATTAAGATACAGAACTGGTCTGGATAGTGGTAATCCCAGGAGGCAGAGGCAGATCTCTGTGAGTTGGGGAAGCCAGCCAGGTCTTCAGATTGAGTTTCAGGATAGCCAGAGATACACATGAGACCTACTTTATGATATGAATTCTTTTTTTAAATTTATTATGTATACAGTGTTTTGCCTGCAGGCCAGAAGAGGGCACCAAATCTCATTACAGATGGTTGTGAGCCACATTGTGGTTGCTGGGAATTGAACTCAGGACCTCTGGAAGGGCAGTCAGTGCTCTTAACTGCTGAGCTATTTCTCCACCCATGACATGAGTTCTGTTTAACTGTTTTGCTTGTCTGTCCTACCTTTGTAATGGTGATTATCAATAAATACACAGTTCAAATGTAATCACTCTGTAGTTTCTCCCACCCCTTCTGCCAGCAAACGGGATTTAGAAAAAAAAAAAAAAAGCCAGAGAGGCAGAAGTACTGGAATTTAAGTCATCCAGGATCCTACAGTGGGGCAGCCTGGAGACAGTGGGGCATACAGCAGGGAGGCTTGGTCTAGGAGCAGGCAGTGGAGTAGCTGTGGCCCAGGGGAAGCAGTGGGACACCCATTAGGTAGCGGTCTCATAGGGGCTGTTGTACCAAGAACCTTCACATAACCCCTGATCCTTGGTGGTGGTGAGACACTGGCAGAGCCTACCATATGACCAGCAGATAGCAAGGACCTATCATTCTACATTTTGGGCATCTGCAAAGTTCTCTGCCTTGTGCTGGTCTGCTGGAGAGCTCACCACTGGATAAGAGACATTAAAACCATCTTAAGCATTTAAAAAATATAATCTCATTTACGACTGAGAAAACATGTGCTTAAGGCAAATGGAGAATTAACAGAAGAGTCTCTACATCCCTATACTGTGAACAGGATTAGACACACAAGACATTTTAAAAACGTATTGATACTTACAACCTTTCAAGACCTAAGAATGACTATTTGCATCAACCAGCCTTCTCCCCAAAATACCTACACAAAGTGCCTGCTGCAGGTAAGAATTCAGTATATAAGCTTTTAAAAAAGAATTTGAACAATTATAGTTTATACATGGGTCTGTGAAAACTACTTAATAACAGAAATAATGATGTATTGTTCCAAGATTCATTCTAGCCCATGGATGACCATGGTCAATTGGCAAGGGTCCCAGGAAGCTTTGCCTCCTTTGCTGTAACAACACTCATACTACAAAAATAAAACTAAGTTCTTAATTCTACAAGTACATCAGTTACCTGAACAGAGGAATCCCCAGCACTGAGTAAGCGTCACTCAGATGCATGAAAATCTGAAAGAAAAAACAGAATCAGAATAGCCCAAGAAAACACTACATCAAGATATAAAAATCTGAATCATTTGTTTTGAGTTTATATGACCTATATTTTAATAAGAAATGCCAAGACCTACTTGTTATGCTGGGGAAAAAAACAAAACAAAACAAAACAAAAACCCTCTGTAATCTTTTGTTCTTAACCAGAGGTGATAAGGTTTACAGAGTCAGGGCCAGGTGGTGGGTGAGCTCCAGAGTCACAGGTCAAAGAGCTTGGATCTTTCTTTGCTGGACCTACGCACTGTAGTTTTTAGACTTCGGTAGCTAAGACTTCCTAAAGCCTGCTCTAATCTTAAGCAAGACTTGCAGCCATGCAAGTCTGCCTATCCCAGCACACAGACAGAACACAGCAGAGGAAGTTTTCCTAAGCCAGGTTGTCCTCCACTCTGCCATCTGCAGACAAGGCTCTTATTTAGTTTCTATTGCTATGACAAACACCAGGACCAAAAGTAACCTGGGGAGAAAGGGGTTTACTCCTCTTTACAACTGGTAGCTCACAGTCCATCACTGAGGAAGTCAGGGCAAAAAAAATGAAGGCATGCTGGGGATTATTATTTTAAGGTGTGTGACTTATGTTTAAGCTGCACATGTTTAATTCTGTGAAGCTGTGATTCTTTGCCTGTCTAAAACTCCTGATGGTCCTAATAAAGAGCTGAATGGCCAATAGCAAGGCAGGAGCAAGAACAGGCGGGGCTAGGTGACAGAGAGTGTAAATAGAAGGAGAAACAATGAAGAGGAGGAGCAAGAAGACAAGGAAAGGAGGCTGCTAGGGACTGCCACCCAGTCACCCACAGAGGAAGAATGAAAGTAACATATACAGAACGAAAGGGAAAAGCCCAGAGGCAAAAGGTAGAGGGAATAATTTAAGTTAAGGAAAGTGGGCTAGAAATAGTCAAGCTAAGGCCAGGTGTTCCTAACTAAGACTAAGCCTTTATGTATTGATTTATTTGGCAGTTGGGTGGTGGGCCCCTCAAAAAGCCAAAAGAGTAAAACATCACACAACAGAGGCAGGAACCGAAACAGACACCATGGAGGACCCTGCTTACTGGCCTGCTGCCTGGACAATTCAGGACCAACCACCTGCAGAGTGGCACTGCCGTCCCCAGTGGGCTGGGCCTTCTCACATCACACATTAATTAAGAAAATGCCCAATGGACCCACCCTCAGGCCATCTGATGAAGGCATTGCCACTGAGGTCTCTCTTCACAAACAACTCCATCTTGGGTCAAGCTGACAAAACAAACACCCTCCTTCCCAACAAAAAAACCCTAGCCTCTTTCCTTCCATTAGGTCCCTGGATAGAACTGAATGCGTCATAATTAGTCTTCCACAGAAAATTAAAAAATGGGGATTTCTCTTACTCTTTCAGTCTTAAGAACCTTATAGACTATCACCCAAAGTGACTATCGTATTTTAGGTCATTATTTTATCATACTTTAGGTCATTATTCATTTTCTTTACATAGCAGCTATGATTTCTTTTTTTTTCCATACCAATTATTATTTATTGCTAGGATTTAAACTTTTTTTAAGTGTTGGAGAAGCAGGAAAAGACCCCCACGGAGGCAGGGAGCAGACTGATCACTTACAAAGTGCCACAAGGTTGGTAAATGCTGGGTGCTAATAACTGGAGTACTCTTGACGGACAGGCAGAAACACTGAGTGCTCAGTGCAATGCAAAGAACAGCACATATGATTTCTTATTAAAGATATTTGTTATGCATGGGAAGACTATGAAGTGCCTCTGCAACCTCACTATAAATATCTCCTTCAGCTGTGGCCAAGTAGCCCAGTTTGGGTAAGACATTTCTGCATCATTTGGCTGCCGAAGAGAAACAGGCTGCTGGATCCATGTAGACATACTTTTTATAGCGGAAGTCAACCCAACCTGAAAAGTATGGAAAGGAGATGATGCTGTTGTATAGAAATCAAATGGATATTCATTACCTCTAAATGTGGATTCCTTAAATTGGCTTTCCATCCAAACTTCCTCATGAGAGCAATTCCAACCACTCTTCCTGCCTCCTGAAAAGTGACAGGTCATAGAAAAGATAAGAACATAAGAAATAAGAAGAAAACTTTAAAATGGACAAGAGCTAGCTATCACCTGCGGTAATTTAGTGATATGAAACTATAACTTCCGAGACTGCCTATGCAAGGCAACAGGGCTGTATTTTACCTTCTTCATGTCAAACTCTTTAGGACTACTCTCTAAGGTGGAAACTCTACTCTGGCAGTTTTAGGTGTGTGACATAAGACCATGACCTGATATTTGTGACCCTTCTAATAAAGGAAATGAACACACACTGAAGGATTATGTATTAACTCATTCTCTATGTTTCCACATGACCAGACCAGCTTTATCAGACTCACCTTTAGGGTCCATGTGATTCTAAGTTTGGCTAAAAGATCCAGATCAATTTTGAGCTACTGAACTTTGTAAGAACTAACAAACGAGGTCTTGGGATGGAAACAGGTGCCCATCCTTCCCTACGCTGTTAGACTTCATGTGCACATCTAGGTCATGTGACAAGGCTGCAAACATCACAGTGCAGGGTGGTTGTCTATAAGCATATCATTGTAATGAAGAAGAGCCCCTAACATATTAAGACCACAGCATCAGCATTTACAAAGGACATCTATGGACTTAAGAAAATGTTTAGAAGGAAAGCAAGGGCTGCCATGTGGAATAGCGCAATGTTCCTCTGGAGCGGCTGAGGAAAAGTTAAAAAGGGAAACGTACATTTAGAGACACACAATCAGATGAAGACAGACCTCATCATCTGTCTGGGAAGAGTTATCTCCACTGGAGAATTCCACCTGGAAGGTGAGCGTACCTGTGGAGGGAAGGCCTTTCCGATATTCCCGCTGCAGCGACAGGAAACCCTGAAGGTCAAGTCCTGGTTCTGAGCCTTCACCATGTCATCCTGGAGTCCATGCTCTTGAAGCTGGTCAGTTTTAGTGATAGCATCCCCTTGCTCCAGCGAGTCTTCGGGAAGCCCGTCGCCCTGGCCTTCCCCTCGGCTCTGTTCAACCATCTGCTTCTCCTCTAGTTTTAATTTCTTGGCAAGGACAATCTCATTTCCTCCCACTTTTCGCTTTAGTGTATTAACATCCCTTTGAGAAACTTTTTCTTCTTTTTTATCACGTTCAAGAAGTTTTCTCCAAAGCGAAATGGCCTTCAGCCAACTTCCTGGATCCTCATTTATAAGTCTCTGGAGCTCAGTAAGTATTTTTCCTAAATAAACAAAACCTCAGTTTATCCATCTTCAAACCTTATAGACAACTGTCTATTACATTCACCAATGCAGATTTCATGACCTTTATTTCTTTAAAACATTTTACTGAATTGCTACATACACAAAATTTCACTTTTATTTAGAGTTTAGATAATTTATTCTAAGATTTACAGAAGAATAAATTTAATTATTTACATACAGAGATCTAAGATTTATCAAATTTATGGAAAACCATGCAAACTTCAGCACAGCCACATATCCTGTGGTGCTATACTCAGCAGGTGGCGAGTTTATGCACAGACCTTGGAGATACACACATCTCTGAGATAACAGTGACCTTGCCCATAAACTGAAAAATAATGTTCAGAAACAGAGCAGCTGAACCTTGGACCCATTTAATTTTAGACCACAAAAATATTAACATAAATCCTACAATGAGTTTCCATGAAGTCAAACTTCAGATACACAAGCCACTTTTATAAGTCCAGGACTGTCAGCTTGCCTTTAACCTTTTTTTATAAACAAAAGTCATTAAGTTGATCTGAAAATTATCACTATAGTAGTGTATGGATGATGGGAGGAAATTATGGTGACCCCACAAACCCTCGGGATTTCCTTTAACTTCCTTTCCTGCTCAGTCCTAACTTTGTATGTAATTCTTTGATGTCTTATGCACATAGGAATCAGAGTGAAGGTTGGGGCAGTGTAAATCCTGCAGTGTCTGCCTTTTAAAATGGCTTTAATTATGATCTTGAAATTATTTATACAACATAATTCTAAAGCTAGGAAGTAATTATGAAATCTCCTAAGGTGCCTTTAAGAGAAGAAAATTTTACTAGGTAGCAAATTTCCAACTATTTCACTTAGTTAAAATTTGTAAGATGACAGTTTTTACCAACTTGTGGTGCAAAATTGTATTCTGGTTATTATATGCTTCAAAGCAATCAAATACTGTGGAACATACTCATTTCTAGAAAGAAAACATGAACAATAAGACCCTGAAGGGAGGCAGCAGATTCCAAGAGAAGCGAGAGAGCTGGCTACAGATACGTGACAATACCAGGCAATTAAAGTCCGTAACAGTGATGCAGTATGGATGAACCGGAGACACACAGCTGCTGGGCAGGCAAGGTGGGTAAAAGCAGAGGGTGCGTGTTGTACCTTTGCTCAGAGACGGAACTGCAATTGGAAGCTGCTTCCTAATCAACAAAAACAGTCTTTCCGCTGACTTCAACTTCTTCATTGAGGTCAAATCTGAACGGGTGGTGAAAAACACTTTTCCTGAAATGTATTCAACCTAGACACAGAAAAACAGGCATCAATATGGTTCTGGGCCAGAACAAGGGCCTCTTTCTTCCCTTTGGTCATTGTGGAGCAACTGTCATTTGTTAGGTTCCGCAGCAGGCACCTCCAACATCTACTTTCCCTCTAAACACTTGACAACCCTAAGGCAGATTTTTATCATGGCCATTTTTCACATCACAAACTGACATCTAGGGTAGGTCACACAATCTGTGTAAGGTCACATGGTCAGACTATTATGTTACCTCTTGTAAAGCACACACCCATATGCCTGGAAAACAAATAAAAGACAAAATATTCAATAATTACACTGTCAAACCTCACCCACTGCTTAAAAGTAGGCAAAATATAGGTAATAAGCATATTACAAATTAAGTGTCTAGAACAAGATAGATGTTTATTAAATATTTCCATGTCTACCAGGGAACATACAGCAAATACTGAACAATAACATGACAGCCATATAAACTAAGATGTAAAACTTGTAAGACAATACCGTAAATTAAACCCAGAAGAAAATGACGCTTAACTGCTTATCAGCCGTACTGATAATCTATACAGTATGTTAGCATTGAATACGAAGCCACCGTTTCTAAAATGCTGGGGACGAATCCTGTAAGACCTAGGAAGCAGGCTGCTAACTAACAGAAGCAGGTGCAAAGGCAACAGAAAGCTGGCTGCAGTGCACTGTCAGCATGCTGGCATGTTGGGGACGGACGGCATCGCTTAGGCCAGCCTGATACACGGCCATGAAATTCTGAGCACCACAGATGGGAATGGGCAGCCATTAAAGAATTCCGATGAAAACTATGACAGCAATGGTGTAGCTGACAGAAAAATTACCTTGGAAGGGGTATAAAGGACGGTGCAGAATGTGATGCTGGAGGGAGAACAGATCACTGAGGCAGACATGAGGGGCGTGCGGGTAGACAGGGAAATAGGAGAGAGAGAGACACATCACAGCTTTAGGATGAGCCTGTGGCACGTGTGGGAAGAGGGAAACTCCCTGGTTTACAGGGAACTGAGTGTGGTATGGAAACTGCACTTGTAGCTGCCTTGAGCCCTGGAAGGATATGGGTGCCTGGGAGTCCTCCTCACAATGCTCACGGCTGACTGACATCACCCTAAGCTATGTGGAACTAAGGCGCCAGGGAATCTGGGGTACCCTGTGCTATAGGTTGAATGTGTATAGACAGGAAGACTGGTCAGTATGGCGGCACTGAAAGATGGCAGAACTTTTCACAGGTTTGGCCTAGTAAGCAGTGGCTGGGTCACACCAACCTTGGAGCTGATGCTGGTCACCGGGGTGAGCTGGGTCTCATGACAGGAGCTACTTCCCGGAGAGGCAGGTTGCTATAAGAGAAGCTTGGCTCCCACCCCTCTCCTGTATAAATGCCCTCTCTCAGACAGGCTCTGAGGTTCTCCATCTCATCATGACACAGACCGGCATGGCCATTTCAGACACCATGCTATTTTGACTTTCCTCCTATCAGAATGATGATTCAAATAAATGTCTTGTCTTATATATTACCTCATGCCAGCTAGTCTGCCACTGCAGAATGAACTAAGAATCCATGTTCCTAAGAAGATTCTTCATTCAGGGGCTGGAGAGATGGCTCAGTACTTAGAGCACTGACTGCTCCTTTAGCGGAGCTGGGTTTGATTCCCAGCACCCATACAGGGGCTCACAACCACCCCTAACTCCAGTTTCAGGGATCTGAAGCTTGCTTCTGACCTTTGCAAGCACAGAGACACATGCAGGAAAAACCAGTGAACATAAAATAAGTCACACACACACACACGGTCATTATGCAATTTAACCTAAAAATCCTTAACTGTTCAGCGATTTTTTTCTTCTATGGCTATTAAGGAAAACAGTTTGTACAACCAGATTTTCTTCAAATATGCTCTTTTTAAAAGAAAGGCTTATTCAGAACACGGCAGGGTATGAACTGACATACCTGAAAAGGCTGACATATTCAGGACATCAATCACGAGAGCAGTATGCTGATTAATTAAAATAACAAATTCATCTTCGAAACCCAAAGAAGCATTATTGTCTTAATTTATACACGACTTACTAGTCTTTTGTGTGAGAAACACAGAAATGTTTACTAATTGAGTCACTGTGAGAATCACATAGTCACATATGTGAATACAACATTTTCTCCTTGTGAATATTAACATTATCTTAAAGCAGGTGGGAGAACGCATGCCAGTATTTAAGAATTTATCCTCCAGCTTTCTCTCGTTGCTTTTGGGGTGACTTATTTTTACTATTTTTAATTATGTGTATGTGTCTAGAAAAGCACATGTGTGTTTGGGTGCCATAAGAGATCACAGGTACCGAAGTCTCCTGGAGCTGAAGTCACAGGCAGTTGTGAACTGTGACATGGGTGCTGGGATCTTAACTCAGGTCCTCCGCAAGACCAATACTGTGCTCCTAGCACCTCTCTAGTTCTTAAACTTACCTATTTGCTTAAAAAAAAAATTGTGTGTGTGTATGCATGCATGTTTGGATGCACGTGGAGGCAAGATTGATCCATTGGAGCTAGAAGCAGGGTGTCAGCAGTCTGATGTGGGTGCTAGAAACTAAACTTGGGTTTTCTGGAAGAGGATCAATCATCTCTCCACCCCCAGTAGTACTTTAAACATTTATTTATTTGTGGGGGCATGAGTACCACGGTGTGTATGTGCAGGTCAGAAGCCCACATGTGGCTCTCTCCTTCCACCATGGAGGGCTCAGAGCCTGAACGTGGACATTCAGGTTTGGCAGTAAGCGCCTTTACCCAGGATTCCTCAGGCCTTGACTTACTGCTTCTAACTGACCATATCCAACTATAATATTATGGAGCAATATAGCATTCTAGAATTTTCATTCCAATAGCTGTTATTTGAAAAGCTATTTACAAGTTGTCCCTCCCTTTTGAATCGTGAAGGTGAAGTGTTAAACTGGTCTAAACTGGTCTGGTGTCTAACCCTGAGCTAGAGCCCTTCCCCGACTCCTCAGCATTTTTGTCTTTCCCTTTACACTCATGAACTCAAGTTTGGGCCAAAGATTAGAAGATGTTCAAATTTAGGCACACTATAGTATCACTGGTAGGTACCAAACTTCTAATTCTACAGATGGTATTTAGATGCAGAATGAATTTTTAAGGTACTAAGTCATCTGTTAGGGTGGTGTCTAAGTTTGTTTTGGTTCATTTTTAAGACCGAATTTTAAAATAGGTTTAACTTTCAAAATGGCATTAAACTAAAAGAAAAGGAACACACAGAATCTTGAAAAGGCTTATGTTACATCCCACAGAAATAACTACGAAATAACCCTCTTAGCTCTAATTAGACGCTACTGTCACAATGCCATTTAAACAAACAAACAAACAACCCAAATTGGTTGGCTTACTAAAGGCTTGGGTTAATAGTCTCCTCTGTGTGGATTTATAGAGATCAGTGAGCCATCTACAGGAGCCTCTCCTTAGCTAACATAACATCACCTCTGCTGCATGCAATTTTATCTTAACGATAACTATGATTCTTACTAAAAATTAGAATTTAGTACATTACTCCTGAGGGCCGGCTTCATGAAAAATACTTCTTACTAGGGTAGGGGTAGGAATTTTAGAAATATAGTAAGGAATGTGAAGACACATAAAAAAATAACAGGACAGAAACCACAGAAAGTATCGGGAGAACATTCCAGTGACTGAAATCAGCTCTCATTTATTTTCCCACACCTTTTATCCCCAGAGTAAATGGGGGAGGGGGAAAGGTAACAAGACTTTATGAACATGATACAAATGATACAAAGGATAACAGTCAATGGCTTTATCACTGAGACATCCAATCATTAGCATCCTGCTGTCTAGGTAGTGAGGTGCTCTAGGTCACTCATCCTGAAGACCACCCTTCTCCAGGTGACCTCATGTTACAAAAGGAGGAGCAGAAGTACTTTACACATCCTGTCAGGATGGCATGGAGCTATCTTAACTTCAAAATAATGAAGCAGTCACATCCTGAGTGGGACAAGCATCTATGCTTGTCAATCTTCAAACTCTCTGACCAGCAGACAAGGTGGAAGTGGCCTACATTTTTTTGGCCTCCACACATCACACATTGCTATAAAGAGATTTTTCTGTATTGAAAGTGGTCTAGATATGTGAATTAAATACTTTAAAATATCCAGGCAACTTTAGATATTTACCCCACTACTGGAACACAGAGATGGGGAAATCAACCTTCAGTTTGACCAAGCTCTAGACACAAATGACGGGAACCCAGTTTACAGGAAATGCAGAGGATGGAGTCCTAGGTTTCCATGTGCCCCAACATCCCTGTGCTGAAAGTATGCTCAAAAACATGATGGGGGAGGGGAGTAGGAGCTTTCTAAGGTACAGTGCTGCAGGGGATTAATGTTACACAGGAAATGGGCTTGCTATAAACATGAACTTGGGCCCTACTGTGCCTGTGTGTCTTTTACTTTCTCTCCCTGGATGCTGTCTGCCATGTTAGATGGCAGCAAGAAGTCCCTCACAGATATAGTCCTTGAGCCTTGAGCTTCTGAACCCCCAGAACTGTAAAATACATTTTCTTTCTCTACACAGTACTCAATCTGCAGTATTCCTTTACAGCAATACAAAAAAACCAAGACATAGAAGAATACATTAAATCATGCCATAGAAATGAATGTTGATGTCTTATTTACTTTATTTTCTTTCTTTTTTTCTTTTTGGTTTTTCAAGACAGGGCTTTCCTGTGTAGCCCCAACTGTCCTGGAACTCACTATGAAGACCAAGCAAGCCTTGAACTCACAGAGATCTACCTCCCGAGTGCTGGGATTAAAGGCATGTGCCACCACCACTCAGCTCTTTAGATACTTTTCTATTGCTGTGAAGAGACACCATGACCAAGGCAACTTTTAAAAGCATTTTATTGGGGGCTCGCTTACAGTTTCAGAGGTTGAGTCCATGGTCAGCACGGTAGGGATCATGGTGGGAAAGCAGGCAGGGAGGCAGGCACAGTGCTGGAGCAGTAGCTGAGAGCTTGAATCTTATCCTCAAGGAGACAGGGACAGAAAGGGGTGGGGGTGGGGCAGAGACAGAGCGAGGCAGAGAAGGGAGAGGGGGAGAGACAGAATGACAGGCTGGGTCTAGTATGAGCTTCTGAAACCTCAAAGCCCATCCCCAGTGGCACACCTCTTTCAACAAGACCACATCCCCTCGTTCTTCCTTAACAGTCTGCCAACGGGGAACCAAACATTCAGATGTATGAGCCTAGGAGGGGTCATTCTCATCTCATGCAAACCACCACAGTTGGCAAATCCAGATGAGGGTAACTTTGTGTCCAATCCAGATGCCACTAGGATGCACAGCTTCTGAGCATTTATAGTGTCGCTAAGGTATCTGAAGAAAAAACGGATTCTCTAAATAGCCACTGTGGGACCCTATTGGCTAACACAGCCATGGCAGGTCAGAAAGCCCTGTTGAGCTGAGAACGGCTTAATGTTTTTTTTTTTTTTTCCCCAAAGGATGTAAATACAACAATGAAGAAGAAAAATATAACAGAAATCATGTGACTAATAACGCCTACAGGAATACGAGAAACCAGTTGTGGTGCACAGAGCCTGAAATATTTACTATCAGGCCTTTTATTTTACAGATTCCTTTAGTTTAAGGCCAAAGAACCCAGTCACTTTAACATGAGGATTCTGAGAAAAAAAAGAGAGAAACAGAGGTAAAATTATAGATGAAGAGTATCAACCAACACAATATGTAGACGGTATTTAAATCCCTACTTAAACACACAAACTTAAAACAAGAGATATCAGAAAACAAATTCGACTCTGAACATGTGTTGAGAAGGGATGAACTTTTTAGCTGTGTAAATGATAAGGTGACATATTTTAGAAACTTCATCTCCTTTACACTATATACGCGGCTATGAAAGAGCCATAATTTAGAGCTGCACAAGCAAACATGCAGATGAAATGATCCCTAGGAGTAAGGCAGAGGGCTGAATGAGGCGGAATTCACTGTGGGCTGATCGCTACGGCTGCTGGCTGATGAGCAGGGAGAATTCACCATATTCTTCTGTTTGTTTCTGTGCCTATGAAAGAGCGAAAAGGAGGTCACACGAGGTTTCTTGGTACACGCTGTGTGAGAGGATTTACCCTAGCAACAGTCACGTGGGCAGGGAGAGTGTTTTCATGTTCACTGCAAACACCTGAGCTCATCAGCATCTCCACAGAAAGAAAAGCCTTTTGGGGCAGGCGCCCTGGGATAATATGCACCTCCAACAGCTTCCTTGGTGAGTCTTATGTTTACTAAAATTGGAAAAACACTAATTAAAATTGAGTGATTACCTTCTAAAAGTAAACAATCATTCTGAATTAATTTGTCTTACAAATTCAGATTTTTGAATATTAATTTTCTTCTAGCAAACCTAAATTTCTAAGAGACTCTTGTCACCACAAGAATGATTTTTTTTTTAGTATCCCTGTGCAACTCATTTTGTGGGAAAGCATTTATAGATTACCAATTATTTGCCATGTACCCCATGCTACCTATCTTTAACTCAGTGATGCCATGAAAGTAGGAATTAGTCAAGGAAAAGTGAGGCTTGGAAATCCGAACAAGCTATTCGAAACCACACATCCATTAAAGACCAGTGTAAGAGTAGAACATGTGTTCTCTGCTGTCACTTCGTAAACAGCCTTCACCCGCTGGCACAGGGTAGGTCCCTAGACTGCAGGTCCTTGGTAGCTGCAGGAGCCCGCTTGGTGGATGCAACGAATCTCACACAGAAAAGCATTTAGGATGTAAACTTTGTATTCATGCTGAGCACACACAGACTCATTCTTTGGTATTATTTTAGGTAAATTATTTCCTAAATAATCTAACAACTGACACGACATTAGTGCCCTCTGTCATCTGGACAGAGTTCACATGTGCAAGTTGTAAGCAAACACTGCACTATTGTACGTATAGATGAGACCAACTGCATTTTTGTACTGGGAGGTGTCACAGAGTCCTCTTCAGATATCAAGGTCGGGCAGATCAGAGGGAACCATCTTGGGGCAGAAGGTAAGCTTACTGTTATAGTACTATTGAATACTGATATTAATGATTGCAAATATCCTCTTAATGTTTACTTTTCCTTTAAATCAACTAAGATTCTGGAGACTGGGGAAATTTGCTTTAGCCCCTTCCCTGGTGCTCTGACAGCCCTGGCTGTCAGTCAGGTGTCAAGCTGGACTGCCCTAATACCACGGTGGACACCCGGGACACTCCATGAGGGTCCTGAGGAAGGAACACGGCAACCACAGCTGCTCTCTGCGGAAGCACAACTCTGTTCCAAGAAGGCACTACTTTAGCCAGGGCTTTTTCAAACACCTTGCCTTTGTTGTTGTTGTTGTTCATTACAAGTCCTGACAAACTATAGATGTCCCTGCTTAGCCGGCAGTTATTCTTATTCAGGCCAAAAAGGGAGCACTTTACCCGACAGCCCAGCCAAACGCCAGTGATTGGTACACGCAGATCTTCACAAGCATGAGGGACCTTCCCATGACTGATTTCACTTGTAGGTAGGATTATTATTTGATTGATGTAAATATCAGTAACTAACTTGGAGAGTCTGCTGTCTCATCAGAGCGGCTGGGATGCAGGCTGAGGCTATTTGTGCGGATCTACTACCCACATCTCTCTAAAACCGTGCCAGAGGAGAAGGTGAATTCACTTGGCACTTACCGGCTCTCACTGTTAAGAAAGTTTCTCTCCTATTGGATTCAGTTCTTGGCTGTTGAAGTTTCCCTCAAACGATTTTGTCTTTAGAAGAAACAAACAAGTAGTATCCTTTTTCTAATAATCTTAGATGTTCAGATTGGATCATGCCTTGTTATTTCCACACTGACCTGGCCAAGTTAGCAGAGCAAATCACGGGGTGGCACTATATAGGGCCACATGGCTGGCAGAGCTGGGCATTATTATATAGGAATGCTTGATTTTCGAATCTGAGTATTACTGTTGTCATTCTGAAGTTGCATGACTTGAATACATCATTGGATTCACCTGGTTAAGACCCATGTTCAAAGCCCAGCACCCATGCTGGGCAGCTCACAATCACTTGTCCCTCCAGTTCCTGGGAGATGAGCAGATGTCTCAGGCTTCCACCAGTACAATACATTCATGTCAGCACACACATACAATAAAAAATAAAAATAAAAAAAAATAAAACCCTTTGATTATTGAATGCAGGGATTATTACAGAGAGACTACTTTGGATAAATTACACTCAGCACTTTGTTAAATTCTGTAGTGCAATTCACAAATGGCAGTTGTGCAATGTGGCTGAAGTCATTCTTGGTAACTCCCTGCTGCCCCTGCGGACCATCGCTCAAACTCCTTTTGTGGGCTTCGAACACTGCACCCTGAGGTGAGCGCTAGTTTGGTTTTAGCAAGCTCTCCCTTTCCAAGAACACACCCCACACTAAAGTATCAACATCTTACCCCTCCGCTTTCAGTAACCTCCTTAGCATATTCTGGAACAACAGGGCGTTTAAACTCTGCTTGTCACAGCAACGAACAGGGAGCCCCGAGGCCGGCAGGAGCGGAGTAGTTTTTCAGCTACAGTTACCGCGTGTGTTTGAGGTGTACTTTTTAAGCTTCATAGCCAAGTCACAAGGTGAAACCCAACCTCGTGAAGAAAGGAACAAGACTCAACAACGGAGCCTGGAGACTACATCTCCGTTGAAGGTGTAACTGCAATTATAGCCACTGCTTAGTTTCTTTTTGAGGAAATCAGAACAAAACTGTCTTACGTACCCCTCCTTAAAACTTTGGCCGTGACAGATGTTCGGTGACCAGACCGGATAGAGAAAGAAATCACTCGATCCTGGTGCTCACACACTCACCGCAGGACTTGGGTGAAGCCCACCGCTCGCAGGGATGGGTGCCCCGGGCTCACACATCCTTCCCGGGCCTAAGCCCCGCGCTGGCGGGAAGAGGGACCCGGGGACCCGGGGACCCGGCGAGCCCGACTCACCTGCGTAGCCTCCAGCCGTGCCTGCACCTCCCGCATCAAGAACGGCTCCAGGCCGCGGCCCGCCGTGCAGAAGAACCGGGCGCCGCCGGCGGGGTCTGAACCCATTTCGGCCCCGGCGGCCGCCATGGCGCTCGGGCGCGGCCCCGAGACCCGGTCACGTGAGCTCGGGCGCGTGCCCCGAGTTCTCGGCGGAACGCGCACCTGAGCGGCGGCTTCGCAGGTGCGTCCCCTATGGGTCTTTCTGGAAACTACACAGAGCTTCCTGCAGCCCGGCAAGGATCCTAAGGATGTTGTCACTCCTATCTTCACCAAAGACTAGGCCAACCGGGTGAATGGGGCCAAAAGCAGAAATTCTTGTTCTTTGACAGAATGTCTTCATGTTCCCGAAACTTGCTACATTTCTTGCATTTGGCCAATCGTCTAGGTAAATAATGAATGTGGCACTCAGTTTGTCTACCCGATTTGAGTAACTGGTAACAGTATTTGAATGATATTTTTCTAACTCTTAACTTTTAAAAGGACAAAGAAAATATGATATAGGTAGAATAAAATCTCTCTCTAATTCGCCACCATTAAATTAGCTATGTAGTTTTGTACTGAATAAGTTATATAGAAATTATTAAATGAATGTTTTTAGAATGTAGCTCCCTAATGGTCCGGAAATGGATGCCAGTGGGTAACTGATATTCTCCTCTGTGTCACCCACTCCCTCACTGGTCAGCTCACGAAGGGTTGAGGCAGTAGGGCAAACTTCCTCATGGAGGGCTGTCACCTGGGCTTTCCAGAGTTGCTCCTAAATTCTCAGACTCGTTCATTTGGCGAGCCACCCAAGGTCTCTTGCCAAACGGTTCTTTCCCTTGGTAGTTGCTCCAATTGGTTCCGACATCCCCATTCCTTGGCTTCCCATGGCAAGTCTGTGTGGGGAGGACCTTGAAGCCTTATGAAGCCTCCCAGCCTGGGTTACCAAGTGGGTTAGCGCTGGCACAGCATACCCAGTTCAGTTCAGTGAAGGCACAGCTGCTCTCTGCCAGGCCACAGGCGGCACTGAGGAGTCAAAGCCAGGGGCTGGGATTCAAGGGCTTAGAAGATGGCGCTGTTGACTGACTTACCTGCAAGAGGAAGGGGAGGGATAGGAAATGCTTTGTGGAGAAAGTTACAGGCAAACAATAGAACACACTCGTGACCCGCAGCCCTTCTTGGAGGACTTGGTGGGGGGGGGGCAGCAGGAGAGAGAAGTACATACCTGAGATTGCATGTGTAGAATGGAAGCAGGAAGGCTGGAGAGCAACAACTAGAAGATTCCATACACAGTCAGAGATAAACATAGAGAAGCCAGAAGAGCAGGTTCAGAGCTCTGGGTGGGCACCCGCCAGCAGTATCCATTCCTGGAAGGGGCAATGGCTGAGGTGAAGCTGCAGTCCTGCTGAGCCAACTTCCACACTACACAGCCTTCTCCTTCTGATATCTTTCTTCCCCTAGGGGCTCATTTATTCACCTGGGGACTGTGCTGCTGCTAACCACACCCACCAAAGCCCCGACAAAATACTTGTCATGGAGTCCAAACCTCCACTGATTTCCTGGAGGTTACTGGCCTGGATTTTTCTCCCCAGTGTTCCTTCTTTCAACCCCATCTTTTCTTCTCCTGAGGATGAGGAGGTGGCTCAGCTGATGAAATAATTCTCTACAAGTATGAGGGTCTGAGTTTGATCCTCAGAAACCATGTTAGAAAGCTGGGCATGGCCGTGCTTACCTGTGATTCAAACGCTTGGGAGGTGGAGACAAGATGGATCACTGGGGCTTGCTGGCCAGGCAGCCTAGCCAAACTGACAAGCTCCAGGTCTCAGAGATAGACTGAAATTACATGGCGTGAGTGAAATGGAAACACGGAACACTAAACATACCCACTTACGAGTTTATTGCGGAGTGGGTGTGCAGAGAGAGAGAGAGCTAAAGATGGCTTGTCCAGCTTTTAAGGGCTGCCTAGCGCATGCACACAGAGGGATGATGTGGTTACATCATACGCAGATGATAGAGCTCACGCATGCACGCAAGGGTTCTGCAGCTGTGTCATACATAGATGACGTAACCATGCTGCACATGGGCCACACGGGGTCCTTTAAGATTCCCGGGGCCACAATGTCCCAAGGAGGAGCAGAAGGAGGGAAAATATGAGCAAAGAAGTCAGGACCACGAGGGGTGCACCCACCCACGGAGACAGTGGGGCTGATCTATTGTGAGCTCACCAAGGCCAGCTGGACTGCGACTGAAAAAGCATGGGATAAAACCGGACTCTCTGAATATGGCGGACAATGAGGGCTGCTGAGAAGCCAAGGACAATGGCACTGGGTTTTGATCCTACTTCATGTTCTGGCTTTGTGGGAGCCTAGCCAGTTTGGAGGTTCACCTTCCTAGACCAGGATGGAGCTGGGAGGACTTTGGACTTTCCACAGGACAGGGAACCCTGACTGCCCCTCAGACTGGAGAGGGAGGGGGAGAGGAGTGGGGGGAGGGGGAGAGGAGAGGGAGGAGGGGGGAAAAGGGAGACAGGGAGGGAAATGGGAGGCGGGGAGGAGGCGGAAATTTTTTTTTCAATAAAAAATTATATTTAAAAAAAAAGATTCCCGGGGCCATTAGGCACTTCTGCCTTGAAAGACCCTCAGAGAGGACCTTCCCTCAGGAGGAGACCCCTGAACCCAAGGAACAGTCCGAGACCACTAGCTGCAAACAGCAAGAGGTTTCTTTATTGGGTGTACGCAGGTACCTGTGGGCGGCAAAGTCTATTCGGAGGACTTGCATGCCTGCAGACTGGGTGAAGGTCTTTTTATAGGAAAAAGGGTGGCAGAAGCAGGCATACAAAAGCAGATGCATGGTTACAGGGATCCCATTGGTTGGTTGGAATGAGGCGAGGGGCACATGTGGTTTTCCCCTGAACGTTCGGTTCCCCTCTTAGCACAGATGTTTGGCCACAGATATCCTGTTTTTCAGATATTCTGTTTTTCAGATATCCTGTTTTGCAGCTAGGGGTCCTGACCTCAGGTATCCTGTTTTGCAGCTAGGGGTCCTGACCTCAGGTATCCTGTTTTGCAGCTAGGGGTCCTGACCTCACCCTGCACTTATATTTGTTTTTGTCAAAGCCTTGCAAAATGGCGGTACAGCAGCTAAGCTGGGGTCTTTCAGCCTGAGGGCTTGTCCACACATGTGTGGCCCTGGAACCTGGAAGTGTTATCCATGTTGTATGGCTGAATCATCACAGAGACCTGTCTCAAAAAATAAAAATTAAAGATAACAACATCTGTGGAATGGCATCTGGCATCTATATGGATGTGTCCAAATACACATGCACTCACATACACATATATTCTCCTGCATACACACACGCACACACACAGTTTGTACTAAAAAAAAGTCTCAGATGCGTACAGATGAATTTAACTTATCCAGCTGCAATTTGCCATTTGAATATTACATATTCAACATTCAGGAAGTTGGAAGTCAACAGGAACAATTTTAGAACAGACAAACTTTAACTCTTCCGAATGTCTGGCAGTTGTATACATCTCTACATTTCTATAATAAATTTTAGTCATTTTTACCCCATCTCAAGATATAGTTTTTGTTAAGTTGGGAGCATAGCCCTTAGGCCTGGGAGTTGTATTGGTCTGGACTGCAAATCCCAGCATGCCAGGTCCTGACCCCTGGGGATCAGGGTGGTTAAGTGGTCTTCTAGAGGAGAAACACGTGATTTTCAGGTCTGCATGGGCTCCCTGCTGTCCTGTCTCCCGGCCGTGTGCTTGGCCACACGAGATAGTCATTCTTAATAAAACGATAGGCATTTTGATTTGGTTTGATTTGACCTAATTGGACTTCTTGCACTGATGGAGCTGCCTCCCCACCCCCCCCCCTTTTTAAATCACCTTTAAACTGAAGTTGTTGTGAACATATAGGGTAGGACATTTGCTTCACAATTTCTCCCTATTTTGATGTGTAATTGTTACTTTTTAAAAAAATTTCAAAGGTGTTTAATGTATGCAGTTATGTATCAGAATGCAGATGTTTTAGGCTGTAAGAGCCCTGAGAAGAGGATAGTTTAATTTATATGGACACCACAGCCACCCTGGCTTACTCTTGCTAGGCATTCAGTCAGTGTGGGTGCTGAATTAGAGGCAATTCAGTGGTGTGAAACTAAAAGACAGCCCAACACAGGAAGTTTCTCCCAGCTAGGAAGATTGCTACAACCACCTCTGTTGGTTAGGTTTTGTCAGCTTGATACAACCTGAAATCCTCAATCGAGCAATCATCTAGATCAGACAGGCTTGTGATCCTGTCTGTGGGGGATTGTCTTGCTAATGAACCTAGCCCACTGTGGGCGGCACTATTCCCTAGGCTGAACCCTGCTTGTGTAAGAGTGAAGGAAGCTAGCTGAGTATAAGGAGAAAACAATCAAAAGGATCCATTTGCTTGTCCTTTTTCTGCTCTTGAGTGTGAATGTGAAACACTTAGTTTCTTTCTCAGCTCCCCTGAAAGAATGGAGCATAACCTGGAATTGTAAGCCAAATGAACCCCTGCCTCCCCTAAGTTGCTTTCGGTTAGGCTGTTTTATCATGGCAACTAGATAGAAATGAAACTAGAACACCATCTGACTGTGGCCATTGTACACAGGCATGGAATAAAGGAAAGGACAAATGTTCCTTGGAATTACCTGAATGGTCTTCCAGCTCCATGATTGCTACAACCTTTCCTCTATACTGACACAGCTGAGTGGGATTGACGCCGGCTTTGGTCATCTCTTGCGCAAGAGATAACGAACCATTGCTATAGCTAACTGCAGTAGTTGCCTTCTCCTTGATGTAGGGTGTCCTTCTGTAGGCTGTGACGATGTGTTTCTCTTATTGGCTGATGAATAAAGCTGTTTCAGTCAATGACCAGGCAGAATATACCTAGGCAGGAAATTGAAATAAAGATAGAGGAAGAGAAGGCAGAGTTGGGGAGATGCCATGTAGCCACCCAAGAAGAGAGATGCCAAAAGCAGCCTAAGGAGAAAGATACCAGGTAACACCATGGCCATATGGTGATATGCACAGTTCAATAGAATTGGGTTAATTTATAGGACAGGTAACTAGTCAGAAAGAAGCCTAAGCCAT